GGGGGGGAGAGAGAGCGCAGGCAATCCCCATTCCGTCGCCGGCCCCGCCGTGGCCCGTGAACGGAAGAGAAGCCTGCGACAGGGACCGGGTGCGGAGTGGGCCCCGCGCGGCCTCGGGCTTCCCTGCTGACGCCGCTGCTCTTTCTTAGGCACCATGCCTGCCCTCCGGCCTCTCGTGAAACGGAAGATCGTCAAGAAGAGGACCAAGAAGTTCATCCGCCATCAGTCTGATCGCTATGTCAAGATCAAGGTGAAGAGTCGCTCGGACTCGCTGCAGAACGGGTTCTGGGACAGGCAGGGTGGTTGGTGGTGAAAAAGGAAAGCAGAAAGGGTCGGTGTTGAGTAGCGGACCACGCCGTGGCAGCCTGGCCTGGTGGGTCTGTCTGGAGGTGGGTTACAGCCACGCAGCTGTAGTCACAGAATCCCAGCATGTTCGGGACCACTGAAAAGAGTCTGGCCCCATCCTCCTGACCCCCACCCTGCAGAGATTTATAAGCATATATTAGGTCCCCTCGCAGCCTTCTCTTCTCCAGGCTGAACAAGCCCAGCTCCCTCAGCCTCTCCTCGTAGGAGAGATGCTCCAGTCCCCTCACCATCCTTGTAGCCCTGCGCTGGGCTCTCTCCAGTAGCTCCTCATCTTTCTTGAACTGGAGAGCCCAGAACTGGACACAGCACTGCAGATGGGGCCTCAGTAGGGCACAGTAGAGGGGAAGGAGAACCTCCCTCGCCCTGCTGGCCACACTCCTCCTAATGCATCCCAGGATCCCATTGGCCGCCTTGGCAGCCAGGGTGGTGGGTCTGTCTGGAGATGGGTTACAGCCACACAGCCGTTCTCAGACCAACCTTGTTCCATAATCATTAACTATTTTCTGCATTTCTGCAGCGCAACTGGCGTAAGCCGAGAGGTATCGATAACAGAGTTCGCCGGCGGTTCAAGGGTCAGATCCTGATGCCCAACATCGGCTATGGCAGCAACAAGAAGACAAAGCACATGCTGCCCACGGGGTTCAGAAAGTTCCTGGTCCACAACGTCAAAGAGCTGGAGGTGCTCATGATGAGCAACAAGTAAGTCCGTGGGGCTGCAGGCACGTACCTTGGGGGGAAATGTGGCGTTGTAGGGGTGGTGAACAGCACTGCGCCTGCGTGACTGTGACAGAACAGCAGTCAGAACCGTGGCCTCGTACCTGTTCAGACAGGCCCAAAGCTGCTTGTAGCACTTTTACTCTTCCTACTTTGTTCTGAAACATAATTAACGCCATTAAAAGCTACCTCTTACCGACTTTATTTGCAAGAAAAAAGGCGTGCGGGTCGAGCTGCTCTGGAGGCGAGCTCCTGCATCAGGACGGG